CCCCACCTGGCCTGGCCGGGCCCCGTAGTGACGGCGTGAGCTCTGCAGATTGGCCACTGTGAGCTTGCTGGCTGAGCTCTTTCTAGAATGATCTGAGGGCTGAAGAAGCCTCTTCTGTTTGTTTGACATTGGATGATTGAAGAGAGAGCAATCTCTAAACCCAGTAATTATGCAAAGCTGCACACAGCCGGGCTTCACACCCTTTAGAAGGAAGGGCCACTAGCATATTTCCAAATGCCAAACAACCCTTCCAGACCTCCCCCGAAAGGCCGCAGGTAATGCTAAAGTAACAAATACAAATCCTGGCTCTGAATGAAGGAGTTTATCTTCTTCACAGGCAGAGCATCAAGGCAAAATAAGTGCAAAGAATAATCAAAGACTCGAGACGCTGAGAATTTGGCTCATTTAGTGGGCTGTGCTATTTACACTAGGAAACAAACAAACAATCAAAAAAAAGTATGGCAGAGCAAATTGACAAATGGCACCAAAGTAACCATTCCAAAATGACATGAATCACCGCCTGCTTCGGAATAGCTACTTCCTTAAAAGCAGATGTTGTTTAAGAAGGACAAAGTGAAGTGCTCAGTGCTGGGGGTGTTTGCAAAGCACTGCCCCTGGTCCAGCAGGGATGGCCCTGTCCTCCCAGAGACCTGGCTGACCTGGTCCCCCTGGCAGGTCAGAGGAACAGGAGCAGGGCCGGGCCACGGGCTGTGCTGGGGATGGGCAAGCTCATGGACAGGGTGATATCGCTTATCTCGGCCCATACCGTCCACTCTGGAGGGATCAAGGGTCTAGGGGAGACCCGGGCAGAGACATCTGTAAGGGATCGGACATCTGCAGCCTTCCAGGAGGGAAGACTAAAGCTGTCTTGCTGCATCCATCCACTAGACCACCCCTCAGTCAGCAGGAGACAGAAGACAGCAGAGATCATAAGCAGCATCCTCTTTCCTTGTCTCTCTCCTATCAATGCTCCTCTGTCCCTCTACACTCCTTTCTCTACAGATTATTTTGTGTGTTCCCCTGTTAATGATCTGCAAAAGCCCCAAGGACGGGACCGTGTTCCCTTTGCTTCCAGCCCTTTGGCCCACAGGGCAGAACTTCAAGTCCTCACTAAGCAGATGAATGAATGCTCAGCAATCACAGTGCAGCAGGAAGAGTCTCTTCTCCCTCACCTTCCTATGTGCATGGTGTCTTTGCAGCAACCTCACAAGTGGAAATAAGAACGGCCCCTGTCGCGTGTCTTCACCCACAGTGACCCAAGGGGTGTCAGTGGAGGAGGGAACAGGCAGCCCAGGGAGCCTCAAGGCTCATTTGCCCTGAGATCTCCCTGATGAAAGAGGTGATGATGTCAGAGACAGGCCAAGGGAAGGCTGTCTTGGTGCCATTCTGAAGTGAAGGACTAGGATGATCCAGGCTGGATGTCAACAAGCTGCAGGTCCCAGCCTCACCCTATTCCCTGTGTCATCTTCCAAGAGCTCAAGGTTAGTCCGGCCTCATTGGCTTCAGAAGATCCTGGACCATCTGGGAGAAGAAGCAATCAGATGGACTCTGTCTCCACAGGTAAGAGGGTCAAAGTAGAGGCAGCCTGAGGCAATGTGTTCCTGGATGAAGACCCGGATGATGGCCTGAACATTGACACAGAAAGTGCCCACAGAGGGCAGGCTGTGGGAGGCAGGGACTTGGCCTGGGGTCAGATATGGCTGTGAGGAGTGACATATTTTAGAGAAGAAAGATGGATTTTAGGGCCACAGTGATCATCGCTGATCACCTGGTGGTCACATTCAGAGACTTGGGGAACTTTCTGGAGAGTCAGGTTTCTAAGAGTATGAAGGCCCAGGGGGTCACCTGGGAGACAGCTGAGCAGCAGAACTCTCTGCAGACTCCACACTGGGGATACCGGGGACTCCAGGGGCTGCTCCTGTCTGTTCGGGAGGACAGTATGTGGGAGCGCCAGCAGCCCTCACCTGTCCTGGGTGTCGCTGCTCAACCACAGAGGCTGTGGGGAGCTGGGGCAGGGTGGCGAGTGGGTGCAGAGTGGCTCAGCTCTGCCCTGGACTCGGCTGGAGCCTGAGCCTGGCAAGAAAGGATCGGGAAGCTTCCCCTCCCAGACTGGAGAGTCTTTCCTTTCCTGCTCAAAACTTGGAAACAAAAGCAATTACACTCGCAGTATAGCCCCATGACAGTGACATCCAGCGCGAGAATGAGAAGTGATTAAACCAAGAAATGGACTTGAACATGCGACAAGGCAGTCCGGACACCTCCAAGAGCCAAACCCAGTGTCTCAAAGCCCTCCAAGGTTGACGGGTGAACGATGAGCCTGCTCAGCCTCTGGGACCGACCAAGAGACCAAAGAGATGCAACGGAAATGGACCCACGTGTGGGGACCTCCCCATAGCTCCCTCCTCGGATGACTTTTCATGAAGAAAAAGAAATGGAAGGAAATGCAAGGAGAAACCTCAGGGAAGGGGTATCTGCAAGTGGACTCTGGACGCTAGAGGTCAAGGCAAGAAGAGGGGATGCTGAGGGCTTTGCCCAAGGCCACAGAAGGGTGTGGAGAGTGGCATGCGCGCCGGGACTCCCCCGCCCTGAGTGGCCACGGTGCGGGGCTGGCCCCGCCTGTGTCATCTCCTCCACAGCTGTGTTTCTAGTGAGGGCTGGGGAGAGAAGGTGAGCAGAAGAATCAAGTAAAACCTGCTAGTAGTCCCTCTGTCTGTCACCGGTGAGGGTGGCCGGCCACCACACTCTAGTGCGCAGCCTTCACAGCTCTGGGGTGTGCCCACGTGGAGCCTATGGCCCTGCCCTGAGCCTCTGCTGGAGTGGCTGCCACAGGCCTCTGGGGCCTTTGTCTTTCTAAGTTTCCCTGCAAAGCGCAGGGTGTTAGGGACTCTGCGAAGACTTCAGGCTGTACCCAGCGCAGCTGGGGTCTGCATCAGAGACGACAGGGGTGCCCTGCAGGAACGGTTCCCCATTGCCTCCTGCCCAACCCAGTCGTTACCTGGCACTGACACGGAGCTGAGAGGGCTTTGAGGACAAAGGGGCCAGGGCTGGATGACACGCAGGTGCGGCCTCGGTGCTCACCCAAGCTTTGGGTAGGGGAGGACAGAGCAAAACAAAACCCAAAAGAATAAGCTTCCTAACGTTTGAGCAACACTCTGGACTGGATGCACAATGTTTCCCCTCCACGCTTCCCTCACTTTCCCATCTTGCAGGGGGCACGAAAGTGAATGTTTCAAGCTCACTTCAAGGAGTTTCAGAGGGAAACTGAGTCCCAGGGACGAAGCAGAATTTTGGCAGCCTGGCTGATCCGTGGGGCAAAGGAGTTACCCGTCTGGCTTTTCCTGTTTAACTTGGCCTGCACTTTCCCTCAAGGTTAAATCCAAGCCGTACTCGGGCTACGAAAGGGAAATGCACTCTTTAGAGAAGGACCTCTCGGCCCACCTGGGCTTCCGCCTCTACCCTGCAAGAGTGTGGGGCAGCAGGGTGGAGGCCCGGGTCCCTGGCAGTGCCCAAGGGGGGCAGCAGGTCTGGGCCTAGGATCCCAGGTGATCAGCCATGGCAGCAAAGGTGACAGTGGTGCAGGGAGCACTCCCAGGCCTGGGCCCCAGCCGGGTCCCACTTCCTGTGGGAAGCTCTGAGGCAATTTCTGCCACGTGACTGCAGACACCAGGAGCCGACAAGGAGCAGCACCTGCTGACAGCCTCCGCTAACACTCGCAGCCCCCCTGTCCCCCAGAAAAAGCAGTGGCATCAGACCAGGACCCCAGAGCCAGCCCGGGCTGTCACGCACACCACGATCACCATGTGTCACTTCCAAGCAGAAGGACCCTGTGCATTCAGAGTGCAGCCCTGATGCACACACACACGCTGGAAGGATATATTACTTTACTTTGTGGAACTGGAAAATTTCTTTAATTCAGTCTATGCTCGTATAACACAAATGTTTGAGAATCCACCACCCACCCCACCTAGTGCTCAGTTGGGCCCGAGCAGCAGCAGCCAGCCACGTCAACGTGCAGAGCTGCTAGGTAGCATCTTCAAACAGGTAAATGAAGAAAGGTAACATTTATGCACATGTGTGTATACATATATATAGGAAACCACGGCGTTCTTCGTTCTGGCCCAAGGTAACACATCACACATTTGGTGTTGTTCAGTAAATACCAGCAAGCGCAGGGTGTCACTGAAGGGTCCAAGCTGTCCCCAGGATGAATGGTGATGAACTATCAGGTCACCAGGAAGAATAAAGAATATGCTCACCTGTGGAATTGTATTTCCAATATATGCGTATATATGCATGAGTGTTTGCGTGTGCAGGCGTGAGTGTGGTGTGTGTGTGTGTGTGCACGCGTACTCAGTGAGTTGCTGCAGTAGAAAACATCGGTTTAATTCTGTTCATACTAAGCATGTTAAATAAATCAGGTTTCATAACCTAGAACACAATTCTTTTTTTAAAAAGGAACATTGAAGATCTTCAAAAATTACTACAGTACAAAAAAAGTGTGTGTGTGTGTCTGTTGGTATTTATATATTTATATATGTATAATAACCAGAAATAGTGACTCTATCGGAAGAGATTCCCACCCCTGTTTTCTGTAAGATTTCTATGCGTGATTCGCTCGGCTGCGGCTCTGGGCCGGGCCTCTCGGGTCGGTTCATGGCACATAATGGTATTATTGGCACAGGTTCAGAATCGTGGTCCCAATCCCAGGCGTCGATGCCTCCTCCTGTCCCGTCCGCGTGGCCACCTGGTCTCTTTCTCCAGTCCCCTCTTGTGTGTCTTTGCTCTATTCTCCAAAGAAAACTCCAGGGAAGGCAGTCACCCATAGGCGTGAGCATCTTTACAAAAATATATTTGGCCTAGAGCGCCTGCTATGCGAGTTTCCCACCGGCAGACAGAAGCAGCAGGTGCGGGACCCTCCCCCTCAGATAGTTTAGTTTTAGGTTTTGTGTTTGTGTTTTTGTTTTTACAGGTTCACCAACGGAATCCTATGTGAAAAAAAAACAAAAAGAGATTAAATGCCAGTGGGGCCAGGCATGGCCAGGCTGTGGGGCCCCCGCCACATGCAGAGCCCAGTGCCCTCCTGCTCGGCCAGCAGATGCCCGGGTGGTCAGGAAAGGGAAGGTGTCACCTGAGAACTGGAGCTCCCTGCGGCCAGGGATGGGGAGAAACTCATGGGTCACAACAGAAGAACCCCCTGGCTCTCCCCGGGAGGAGGCCTTGCTGGAGAGAGGAGGCAGGTTATACCTGCCTCACCTGTATGTACATAGGCCAGGTGAGCTGCCTGCAGCAGGTGCAGGGGAAGGGGTGCCACCCCAGCCTGTGGGTGCCCTAGGAAGTAAGGGGCTCAGTCCCCCAGCAGTAGGGACCCAGCAGGTCAGCCTGGGCCAGGCATCAGAGGGTACCAGGGCTCCTGGGTGTGGACAGGGACTGGAGCCCATCCCAGCTCTGCAGGTGGACAGGTGTACTCAAAGGGCACCTAGGGTATGGGGATGGGTGCCTCAGAGCTGCCCCCGGCACCCCATGGCTGCCGGTAGAAAGGAAATGCCACACATCCTGCAGGTGAGGAAGAGGGTGGGGGTGTCAAGGGTCCCTGGATGAGGTCTGGAGAAGCCCTCAGCTGGAGCTCGGGTGGCCAGACAGGCTCCACCCTTCACTTTCAGATCCACTCAGAAATGACTCCGGGCAACTGTGGAGGCCCAGAGCCTCCTCCCAGCCGGGCCTGTGAACATGTGTCTAAGAGCTCTCCAGGAAGTCAATCCAAGGACAGCCAGATGGGGAACAGCTGTCCCCAGCCGACAAGGGTGTGGCATTCTTCCACCCCATGACTAGGGAGATGGAGGGCTGCAGGCCACCAGGTGGGACAAGGTGAAGGACCCAAGATGCATGCCAGGCTTGGCCGGCATGGCTGGTGGCCCCAGCATAGCTGCTCCTGCTCAGCGCTGGCTCCTTGTTGTTCCTGGAGCCCCAGCTCTGCAGGACTGGGGGCAGGCTCCTTCCGAGGCCTCCCAGTTTGGGCCACAAGGGCCAGACCCCTGAGTGTCACCTCAGCCTGCCTGTCGCCCCAAGTGATACCCAAATGGGCAGCTCTAAGAGGCCCAGACTGGTGCTGCTGTGAGAACACCCACCTGCTGGGGCACTGGTGCCACCATGCATGAAGAAATGGGACCTCCTGTCACATGAGCACGGACCCCTCTTGGTAGCATTACCCCAGTGACCTCACCCACCCAACCTCCACATTTCCCGGACGTGGAGGGAGGAAAGGTTTCAGAAACCCCAAGAGAACCACCCCTCCCACACACCCTCTCCGTGCAAAGGTTCTGAATGTTAAAAGTGTGGGGACAGATAATGCACGGGAGGGACCCTGAGCGCATGATCACAGAGACGGGCAGTGGTCGCGGGGCTCTGGGGAGAGGTGCCAGGGTTTAATGGACAGAGCTGGGATGTGGGTGCTGAACGGGTTCTGGAGGCGGATGTGGTGAGGCCCACACAGCACTGTAACCCGGACACTTAAAAATGGACAAAATGGCAAACTTTCTGCCATGCATATTTTACCATAAAGGAAAATATTTTTTAAAAAGAAAAATACACTGGATTCACTAAAGGCGAAGTTGGTGACGCTAACCCTGCTCCTGGTGGCCGCCTAGACGGTCTGTGGTTTCGGCTGCTGTCCCGTCCCCGGTCCTGGGTTATTAATGGACCCTAGCTTCCACTCAGGTGTGTCCAGGGCTGGAACCCATGTCACCCAGGGGCTCTGCCTCCCGGAGAAAGGTTTCCTGGGGAGCCGATGCTCAGTCCTTGATCCCGACCTTGAACAGAATACCCGGGCCAGAGCCCGGCTCTGCCCTCCTTCCCACTCCTTCTTCCTCTCTAAGCTCCATGCTGCTGCCTGCTCCGGACCGCAGATCTCAGCCTTGGGCTCCTGGGCTTCTCAGGCCCCTTCCCTTCTTGGATGTGGCTCTGTTTACTCTGTCCACTCCTATCCCATCCTGTTACTTCTCAGGTGTGGACAACCCGCAGTCGCTTTTAGCTGCACGTGTGTGTGACCCCATGAGCACATACTCCCCCGGAACAGGAGCCCCCACCAGGCCAGCCTTGGCTCCTGGGAGTCCAGCTCTGTGCCTGCCTGGAGGAAGCTGAGAGGAGATCGGTGTCCAAAAGGGAGCTTTGTCCTGGTCCCCAGGAGGAATCCTCTAGGCTTGACCCTTCTTTCTATGCCCCTTAGAGGTGGGTGCAGGGCGTCACATGGCAGAGGGGCTCAGGGCCCTGAGATCACCATAGCTTGGCCCTGTGGGGAAAGGAGTATCTTCCAGGTCCACAGGTGAGGGAGGGAAGGAGGGAGGGAGGGAGGGAGGCAGGGGAGGAGGAGGAGGCAGAGGGACCTGACCCTGTATCCGCAATGGCCACTTCAAAGCAGAGGGTGTGACTCCCTTATAGGGCAGGGCGCTCTCTCAGCATCTGGCCTGGAGGAGGATCCCAGGCTGCAGCTTCCCTCAGTTCTTGCCCGACCCTACTGTTCCAACTTCGGCTCCGGAAGTGCTTAGGTTGGTGTTCCAAAGGCTCTGGGCGAGGGCTGCACAGTCAGAGGACAGGAGCCCAGGCAGGGGGCAGAGGCTGGGGGCAGCAAGGACCCCAGGCTGGAGACTCCTCAGCTGCCAAGGCAGGAAGCGGCGCGCTCGCTGCAGAGTGACCCAGGAGATGGGATCTGGGGTAGGTCCTGCCCTCTGCTGCCCAGAAGGAGACAGCGGCGACAGCCCTGCCACTCACTGGGGTCAGGGCTCGGGTCTGCTTCTGGAAAGAGCACAAGGACGGCCACCAGGTCCCTGGGCACCGCAGCCACTGCGGCAGTTCTCTGAGACCTGAGAGGACACATGCCCCGGAGTCTTCCTGGTGCCTGGTCTCAGAGACTCCACTCCAGGAGGGCCCGGGTGTCGCCTTGAAAAAGAGTGTTCCTTTGAATTACAAAAAGCTTGATATTCTATTAATGCTTTTTTTAAAAGAACGAAGTGGGAAGGCTCAGGTGCATTTCCTGGGGTTTTTTTATTAGTTATGTCTTCGATGTGATTTTTGAAAATAATAACATGGTGATTTGTTTCTCACTTGCTCTGGATTCAAGAGCCTTTATGGCCTCTGTGGCTCTGTTTGAAATGAGGCAGCTCCGGTGAGTGGGAAGGGCAGAGGTCACACGGACGAGGTTCTCTGGGGCTTACTTGCTCCAGGAGAAACGACGAGAGGAGCCCACGAGGCGCTGTTGGGTGTGGGTCCGAGGTGCCCTTCGGTGGAGAAGCAGGGCAGCTTCGTTTTGTGTATGTCCAGAGTGGCCTGGCCCCAGAGCAGAAGTGGGCTCAGATGGGAATGGGGTGGGGTCTGCTGCAGATGTGCATCAGGGCTGCACGGTGCACATCTGCCCCCGAGCCTGGGCATCACAGACAGCTGGGCTGCAGGGAGCGGGCGTGGCCACCATTGGTTCCACGCGTGCGCACCAGTTGGCCTTTGAAGACGAGGAGCCGTTTGGTGGCAGGTTGCTCCGTCATCATTAAAGATGCATTTGGGGAGTCTGGACAGCACTGTCAGAGATAAACATCTCCACCGGCCCTTAAACCTTCATTACACATTTTAGTATTAATTGCCAGTTACTCTCTGCTCCACGGCCATGTCCAGGCACTCATTAGGAGAATCGGGATGCTGAGAGCCTGCACACTTTCACCCCCATGAGTGACAGTCTGTCTGCTGGCGGGGAGATATCTGGAAACATTTACCAGGAACTAAGGAACAAGGCTGTGTGCACAGCCCTCCTGGTCCCTGTCCACAGGAGCCATGGGAGTGGACCACTGCTTTGTCAATAGATGCAGTGGCTGAGCTCAGCCCTCTCAGGGCAAGTTGGACTCGATGGCTCTTGGTCCTTCTCGACTCCACTCACGGACCCTCGGGGTCCACAGGGAGGGACCCCAGCTGTCCAGACACAGGGACATTCCCTTGTGGAAGTGGTACCCACATCTCACACGCCCTCTGGGGTCTGGGCTGGCAGAGCTACCGGCACCATTCATTGTGTGGTCTTGGTGCCCGAGGGGTGAGAGGAGAGGCAGACAGGAGACAGAGGGTTTTCTGGATCGATTCTGTTTGCACAAGCCGGTGCTGTGGCTCTGCTCTGTGTGCAGGAAGACCCTGGGCTCGGGCTCAGGCACCTGGGAGCTGTTCCCCGGCCCTCCAGGGTGTGCCGCAGCCTCTGGACTATGGGCTGAGCTGGGGATCCTGGTCTCACACCCCACCCAGCTCTCCTTCAGCCTGGGGACAGAGGTGCTCGAGATGCAGCAGGGTCTGGCCCAGGACCTGCTGACAATTTGTCTGATGCCAACCAAGTCACTCCCTTCCCAAACCTGTTTCCCTGTGAATGGCATGGTGGGAGAACTGAATGAGCTTCCACAGAGTGTCTGACGATGAGCTGCCATTTGAACGTGCACACTGGGGCTGTGTCCTGGCAAAGCTCATGTGGAACGCCAGTGTTCCCTCCAGTCCAGGGACACTGACCTGGCATCCCTGAGGTCAGTGAATTATGCTATACACGCATGCACTTTTTAAGTTGAGACAGAGGTGCAGCCATGTGGCCCCGGGATGGGCCCAGGCTTCACCAGGAAGCTGGCTCCACTGCTCACAAGCAAGCGTCCTGATGCCACAAGGCTGCAGTGCCCAGGGGGGCTGTCCGGAGTGTCACGGGCCGAGCCACATCGGGCAGACAGGGACCCCAGCTCTGCAGACATGTGGTCCCCTTGCCTCCCCTAGGGAAGGGCTGGGCCTGCGTGCTCCTCGCTGGCCCACACAGGCTCTGTCAGGGCCTCCGAAGGACTGCTCATTTCCAGCCTAATCCAATTACGCTTCCTTGCCCCCTGGCAGAACATCTGGCTTCAGGACAGGGAAGGAGGGCTGGAGATTGGATGTGGAGTGAACGTGGGATCCATTAGCCCAGGGAGGAAGAACTGACCGATTCATTCCTACTCCAGCCGCGGCCAGCTGCTGGGCCCTGGCTGAGGGGCGCAAATCGAGTCCTGGACACTTTCAGGCCCCACAGCCCTCGCCGGCCATGCCAGGCTCCGCTCATTCTCCCATGCAGGAAGTGATTGGCGAGGAAGCAGAGCCCGCTCAGCCCTGATGTCCCACCCGAGAGCCAGGGCTCCCTCCCATGGAAGGGGGAGGACCGGAGAGGGGCCCACTTCCTCCGGGGACACTAAGAACAGAAGAGAGGCCCTAGGGAGCCTGCCATCGACATCACAAAGAAAAACAAATCACCCCAGGGTTGAGCTCGCAGCCCGTGCACCAGCAACATGCACTGCGCCATCCTGGCCAAGAAGCCCTCTCCCCCTGCACCTGGCGCTCGGAGCCGTGAGCATCCACCTTAATATCCCTGAAAGCAAACCGAATGTTCCTGCCCAGCAGAGCGTGGAAAATTCATCCTGTTTTGGTACCGGTCCCTGGCTTCAAATTAGTAGATGTCTCAACTCTTCGCTTTCTTTCTTTATCATGCTCCTTCTTATCTCTTATTTTTATATTTCAAAACTGTATTTTCATTCTGCCTTGTACCCTCCTCGGTGCAAAGCTGTGCTTCGGGAGTGGGACCCTGGCCTCTCAGCCGCTGCCCTGGCCTCTGCCAGGGGGCAGGAGGAGAGCTGTGATCCGAACCCGTCTCCAGAGGTGATTTTTCCTGCCTGGCCGGCCCTACTCAAGGTGCCCTCTTCTGTTTTTTTTAGACTAGGACTCGAACTCAGGGCCTTGAGCCTGCCGGGCAGGCCTGTGCCACCGAGCTACACCCCGGTCCATCACAGTGCCCTCTTAAGGATGACAGGCGCAGCTGGGATGCTCCTGGGAAGCAAGTGTCCGTGACTCCTCCACAGGGCCATGGGTGGGGGGGGCCTCTGACAAATGCAACCTGGGGCCTGGACTCCAGCTCCCTGGTTTGCATTCCGCAAGGTGCTGCTGCTGCTGCCAGAACCCACCGCCCTGGACAGGGCCGTGATGATGCGGTCAGAGGGGAAGAAGGTCCAGAGAGAGGTACGTACCATGAGACAGACACCTGGCGTCTGCCCTGCCCCAGGAGGTAAAAAGCCTTCGGCCAGTCAGCAGGAGATTTCAAACCATTTCTCAGACACGAAGGCCACAGGGATGAGATGCCGGTCGGCAGAGGAGGAGCTGTGGAGAGGAGAGCAGAGAAGTGGGCTTGCGCAAGGGCAAGGCACACAGGCAAGCGGGCGCCTGCATCTCCACAGGGACCCCGGGAAGGTCGGGCCCGCCCTGAGCCCACTGGGCCTCGGCAGGGAGGGCCCCACACGCCCTGCCACCCACCAGGGACAGGCCTTCACTCAGTAACACTCCATTCGGGGCCTGGAAGTTTGGGGGCGGGAGGGCTCAGCATGGAGGCCGGGAGGCTGGCATCACCCGCGCCTGTGCCATCTGCAGGTGCCAGCTCTGGAATTTGCAGGCCAAGCTCAGAGCAGGAGTCTGTGGCTGATGGCAGAGAACAGATACACCTTAGCGCAGATGACAGAAAGGGCAGACCCGGCTCTCTTCACCTTGAAGACTGAGCTACCTCGTCCCAAGGCCAGCAGAAAGCAGGGAGCAAGCCCGACCTGAGGCCCAGCTGCAAGGACACAGACCCTGCCCCGGCGGGTGCTCCAAGCCCCACCAGGGGCCCCAGACCCCGCCCCAAAGCCCCATCCCTCCTCCGGGGCCGAAGCACTGGTTGGCTGCTCAAGCTTCATATCCAAACCAACACACAAACTTTCAATAGAATGGTTTGGAAAGGCTCTTCCCAATTCTCCATGGCCTCAGCCTCCGGAGGGAGGTCCCGAACGTGCCTGTGAGATCAGAGGTTCGGGGCATCTGCTCTTGGCTGTGCCCAGAAGGAAGGGGGAGTCTAAGGGGAGAACCGAGGCACAGATACAAGAGCTGAGCTCAGAGGCATTCAGGGGACCTCTGCGTCCCATGGCTGCTGGGCAGGAGCATGAACTGTGGACACTGCAGCCGGCCAAGGAGCCCCCGGTGGCCAGGCCCGCCTCCTGCCCCTGGAAAGACCAGCAACCAACACACACGCAGCAGACGATCCGTCCTGAAGCCGCCCACACAGGCTCCGGGCCCTGCTTCCCAGGGTTGGGCAGAGGACCCAGCTGCTCACCTTGCTGCCACCTGGGGCCTCAGGGCAGCCTAGCGGCGGGCTCGTTTCTTCCAAGATTTTTAAGTTGTTGGGGACCTTTTTTTTAATCTACAAAATGATGCACGAGTGTATGCTCCCTTAAAAAAATAGCTTATTGATATTTTAATTTAATTCTGGACAAACCTTCAGGAGCTGACTCAAGGGTTTCTTAAACATTCCCAGGGACGTTAGAAATACGTCTTGTCTGAGGGATCGCCCGTGAATAATAAAAAAGAGCATTTAATAAGAAGTGTCTCGTGCCGGAGTCAGCTGCTACTTGATATTTCTGCTGCACTCCCGGCTGACATTTTATTGACAAGTCTCAGAGACACCGACTCTGGGAGGGACCGGTTGTAATTTGCTGATATTCAGGAGGTCAATAACCACAAGGCTGGCTTTGAACTGCAGGGCGGTACCCACCTATGCAGCCCCACGAAGGGCTAGTGAGCTGCACCTCCATCCTGCAGCCGGGAGCCACTATCTACCTTGTACCTCTCAGTCGGGTACAGAGACCGTGGGCCCCTGCTGGGCTCCTGGAAGCCATCTAAATGGGTAACCCAACAGGCCAGCACCCTCCCTGGAGCTTACCGGTTCCCATTGAACGTGGACTTGTACTCGCCCGCTGGGTGCAGCGTCTCATCGGTGTAGACGGGCACGGATGCCCGCACGCACTCATGGGAGCACTGCAGTGTCTCATTGTAGGCCGTGAAGATGTCCAGGCTGCTGGGCACCCGGGCCGAGGTGAAGTCAGTGAGGTTCTGACAGCTCTCCTCCTGCTGGTTGACCTTCCGCTGGTGGCTGTTCCTCCGAGTGTTCCCGCTTTGGGTACAGCTGGGGAGAGAGAGGCTGGTGCCAGGGAGGGCAGGTGCCAGGGTGGCGGCACCTTCACCTCCAGCCACGGCAGTGGAGGAGGCCGTGTTCACTCGTGGTGCTAATTCTCAGCCTCTTCAGAAGCTCAACCACACTCAAGCAATCAGCTCCTTTCTTTCTTAAATACAAAATTTGAATTTTAAGTGTGGGCATTATTGCAGGGAGAGTAGGAAGGGAGGGAAGCAGCTGAGCAGCACTGTGGGGCCTGTTTGCCTGAAGAACCTCGGCCAGACTGTGGCGTGACTCAGTTTCCCCACCAAGGTCCCAGTGAGATGGAAACTGAGGCAGCTTGCCATCAGAGGGGCCTGGATCAGCAGGAGCTTTGGGGACAGTGGGGGGGGGCATCCCTCTTATGTGGTAGTCTCTGGGGTGGCAGCGCCCCAGTACCCATCCTCAACGGGGTCCAGATCTGTTCACGAGGGTCATAGGAGGACTTGCTGACCCCAGGCACCTGCCTCATTTTCCCATTTCTCTGGGTCCGGGGGCTCCCAGCAGCCACCTTGTCCATGAAGGAGTTTGACACAGGAAACCCTCGGTGACGCCGAAGCCACCATAGTGCCAAGTCCACAGGAAGGAGAGGTGGTGGTTGGGGGAGATTCCTGCAGCTTGGGAGCCCAGGGCGCCCCCATGAAGGTAATATTTCCTCCCACAAGGCTGCACCAGGGCAGGGGTCCCTCTCCCGTAGCCCTCCCTGCCTCGGCTGCCCCGGTTCTCGGTTCTCGCTGCTGAAGCCCAGCCCCCAAAGGAGAGATGTGAATGCCAAAGGCCGAGGGCCCAGCCTGCTTAGTGCTCCATGGGTCACTGTCACCCCTCGAACCCCAGCTGCACCTGGGCTCCTTGAGGGCTTGCTGTGAACCAAAGTGCTGGAGCCAGCCTGGAAACCAGCAAGGCACCCGGCCCCACCACAGACGGCTGGAGAGTTCTCTAGTTCCCGGGAGATGCGAGGCTCCTCCTGAGACAGCTTGTGGATCGGCCTGCCACAGGGTCCCCAGGTCCAGGGGCCCCGCCAACCCCCCCACCCCCCGGCTGAGCACCTCTGCTGCGAGCAGCTATGCTGTCCTTGTCTCCTGTCCCCAGAGAACACACGAGGTCCCCATCTGCCTGCTGTCTGTCAGGAGGCAGCTAGGAGGCCTTGCCCGTTGGGAGGGGTGCTCCTGGGTTGCCCCACCCTCCTGCCACCTGCCGTCGGGTCCCCCATGGGTGACGGGGTTTCTCTGTCAGTTCCTTGTGTGTCCCTGACTGGCTCCATGTCACTGTCCAGGCAGCAAGGGGACCCCTGGCAGGGCTGCTCTGTGGGGAGCTGGGGCTTTAGGCAGCTGGACAGGCAGAGGCCCCCGAGATGCAGTGGGGTCATCGGGAAGTCTCCTGGTTTCTCTGGGCCATGTCAGGTGTACAGCCCCAGCTAGGCCAGGCGCAAAGTAGGCCACTTTCCAGGAGGGAACAGGCCACGGCGAGCCGCCCACAGCAAAGCAGTGACCTAGTTCAGAGACAGTGGCCGCGGGAGTGAGGAAGGAGGCCGAGGAGGCAGTCCAGGCTACTGCACGGAGGACCCATCTCCGCCATTCCTGGGAAGGGCCAGGGGAGAACCGGAGGGGGCTCGGCTCTGGCTGCAGCGTCCGTGGTCCACGGGGATCCAGGGACAGTGCTAGGAGCGGAAGTGCCGTCAGCCGGGACACCGTGTCCTGGAGCCACCACGGGAGGCCACCCCGGAGCCCTCTGTGCTGCAGCCAGTGCCAGGCCAGGGCAAACGGTCCCCAGGGCTGCGATGGGCCTGGGTCTGCAAAGCGGGGGCCTCTATGCACTTCCCGGGACCCCGCACCCCCACCTCCAGGCCTTACCAATTTTTTAAGACAAGAGTTGTGATGAGAGCAGCGATGACCATGATGAGGGAGACGGTGATGGTGATGATCTGATGCACAGCCAAACCTGGAGAGGGTGGAGACAGGGGTCAGGGACCGGCACCCACAGGCCCAGGGCGCAGGGCCAGGAGCCGGGCTGCGGCCCAGCCTCTCCCCTGGTGCCCTCCACCCATGCCCATGACCTGGCCGTAGGCAGCACTGCCCCCTCCTCCCTGCCGCCTCTCCCCGGCCTCCAGAGAGCACTGCTGGGAGTCCCCCGAGGACCTGCAGCCTCCTGCCTGTCACGGCTGGGCGGGTCCTGCGCCCTGACACGGGGGCCGTGGCGGGCAGGCCTGAGAGTGGCACAGGTTTTGGCAAAGCCTGAGGAGCCCGGTTGGCCCCGGACTTTGGGGAAGGTGAGGCACAGATCCGCAGACCCCAGGGCATGGGGTCGCTGGGAGGCGGCTTCCTCTTCCTAGAGCCCTCCAAGTTGCTCGCTGCCTGGCAGAGTCCTAGGGGAAGGAGGGAGCTTCCCCAAGAGGATCCACAGCCTGGCTTTGCTGCCCTATGCCTTTTCCCGGCAGAGGAAGGAAGTGGCAGGGCAGGGACAGGACAGGCTGCTTCCACAGTGGGACAGTCACAGCCTGACCAAGAGCGATCTGCTGAGCATGAGACAGATGGCCGAGAACAGCCACCTGTCACCCCTCCTGCTGTCCCCACCCACCACAGTCCTTCCTGACCACATCTGCCACATACTTCCTGGGACATGGCACTACACACATGCACGGCCACTAGAGCCAGCCAGGCCACCTGGAAAACCCACCTTCCAGGTGCTGTCCTGCTGCTGCTGCTGCTGCTGCTGCTGGCAAGAGCTGCACCTGGTGGGCAAAGGCCTGGGGCTGCAGCACCCGCCCTCCCCAGGCGCTGACCTGCCACACATCTGAGGCTTGAGGTGCCTCCTGTCTCCACCCAGTGCCACCTGAATGCCCTCTGTGCAGACTCTCCCACCCAACCTGGTGCGCTGTGGGGAGAGAACACGTGTGTGTTCCCTTGTGGCAGATTGCAGTGTTGAGATTTTCCTGGCAGCCTCCCAGAGACGGAGTCTCACAAGCAGATGTTACCTCTCTGCTGAATATGATCCTCTTAGGGGAAATGGTTCATAACTGATTAAAAGTTGGCACAACTGGAAACCAGGTTTTGTCTCCCCTTCCCTTCTTTTGGGGCTACTGCCATTTGTTGTGAGGGACTCGAGGGAACCCACAGGAGGAGCACCAGGAAGCCGCAGAGCCCACGCAAGAGTGCCATGGGCCCCGTCCTGCATCTTTCACCCACTGCTTCAAAATCCACTTGCTGAGCACTTTCTGTGTCAGCCCTGGTGCCACCTCAGAGAACTACTACCCCCATGCCTTCGTCAAAGTTGTAGTGTTTGCTACCATTTCTTGTCAGTGGCCTCCCAGACATCTGTACCCAGTTCGTGGTGCCCAGTGTGAACCCTGGGTGTTTCCCTGCTCCTCCAAGATGGCCAAGTCAGCTTGCTGATGCAGTGGAAGCTAAGTTAGACTGCAGGGAGCACCTCCCATCTCACCAGCCAGGGAGCACCCACCTGCCCCAGGAACCCCTGCATTTCACCAGATCCTCTGAGACCCAACCAAGACCATGTGGGAAGGATCAAAAAAGATGTTCAACTCTGTGGACAGCCATGGAGGGATTGTTGACTACTCGGCGTCTGCACACGCCCATGGGCCTGGTCCAGTGACACCCACGCTGTCATGACGAGTGTGTGCTTGTCCTGTGTGGGGGCTTATTAAGACAGCGATGGTAATGGTCGTGACAGTGCTGCACGATGGTGACGATGATGATGGTGGTGGTGATGACACACTTAGGACTTTGTTGAGGAAGAGGAGAAGATGCTGATTATCACCATTGCGAGCATCATCCCATCACCCAAATCCTCACCAATACCGTCACTGCCAACACTGTCCCATCACCCGCACCAGCATCATCACTGCCATAGTGTCATGATGCCGATGATGGCAGTAGGAATGATGAGGTGCCAGTGATGAGCATGAAGAAGACGGCGACGGTTAGGATGATGTCAAACGATTTCAGATGTGCTCAACAGTGGTAGCAATTGGCAAGTGTGTTGTTGTGCCATTGGTTCCTGGCAACAGCTCTCAACGTCAGATGCTGTCATTACCAATCACAGAGCGGGAAACCATGTGGGGAGTTTGTAATATCCTCTGATCACATAGGATGTGCTGGTTGCACAGCCCACACTAAAAGCAGTAGTTGTCTGCCGGGTCAGACATGGTTGATCTAAATGTTGACTTGACCAGGTGGTCTCTCTCCTCATCCCTTCTCTTTTCTGAGCCAGGGCTGGCTCCTCTCCCCTCTCCAGGCCTGGGAGAGAACAAGCTTCTACTCTCAGGGACCCAGGAGCTTGTGCTCACCCTCTTCCATGGGAAAGCCCTTTGGGGACTGCTGCAGACCCACACCACAGGCCTCTCAGCCACTTCTGGTATGCCACTCCCCGGTTCCCATGACAGAAAGTAAATCTTTGTTTTGGGGGCAAATTTGCCAAGGTTGGGGAACTCAACATCTGCAGAGATGGAGGTGTAAAAGAGCAAAGAGGGTATGGCGAGCCCCCAGGTAGCAGGAGAAACCAGGTCACCCTGGGACATGGCCTCCCCAGACTCAGAGTGTCCCTTAGGAGAGCGCTGCACTCCATGCTCCATCTCAGTGTCCACAGGCCAGAGAGAAACAAGGCACCCCCAGACTGTGGCCTCTCCTCCTGCCCCTAAAGGAATCCTTCTGTTGGGCTGAATCTCGGCAATGGCCAGAATTCTGGGAAGGGATGAGTTCCACAACCAGCTGAATCTTCAGTGTTTAATTCCCTCCTGTCCCGGAGAGCAATGATCTTCCTCTTCCAATGGATCAAAGAAGCTGAAGTCCAGCAAGGAAAGCAGTTGGGTTGGAGGACCCCTCGCTGGTGACTCTGAAACAGAGACCCAGTGCTTCACTGGGGTGCTCTTCCATCAACAAGGCTAAACAAAAAATAGAAAACCAGGGAGCAGGAACAGAGGTAATGACATATCACCAACGGACGCCGGTTCTGGAGGCCCTTCCCCTGCCTTCTGTGTACATTTTCTTCACTGGACTTCCCAAATTAAAATTTAGAGGAAGCGACATGTAGTCGATACCCAGCTAGGAGAATCCGGATGATGTACAACAATAACACAGCAGCTCTGCTCTCGTGAAGGATTTCTTTATGCTGGGCACATTGCTGAGTTTGAACACATGTGATGAAGTTCAGTTTCTGTACTCATCTGGCTTAGCGGGAGCCGAGGCTCATGGAGGAAATGACTTTCTCCTGGTCACCAGGCAGAGGTGGGAAGAGACAAAATTCTCTGCCCTGGAGTCCCCAAGAAAAACCAAACCTCCAACTTCTGACACATCTGCATCCACATTATGATTTTAAATTGACCCGAGATAAATGCTTCTACCCCTTAAAACTTTGCTTGCAAAGAAAACAGACAGGAGATTCAAAGCCTGGCACACCGCAGGTTCTGATGGCCACCCGGTTCCTGAGTCATGGCTGTAAGAAGAAACCGCAGAGCCCAAGGCCACGGTACGTGAACAAAGATGGGGTGCCTTGATCTGGGGTCCAAATTACACTTGCAGGAAGCACTTTGGAACATGGAACATTCACAAGGACGCCTCATTATTTCCTTCCCCCTTTCGGGAAGGCTGGCTACTGAGAAGAGACCAGAGCCCTAGTGAGAAGCATAATCTTTAAAGTGTCTCTCCTAGCCTTTAGGCTCCCTAAATGCCAGTGGCTGCTTACTTGTGTAAGTGCCTTAAGTCTTCATGTGAATTTCAGGTAGACAAACCTTTTTTTTAAAGAGCCAGGTCGTAAGATTTTAGGTTTCTCAGGCAGTATGGTCTCTGTGTGGATCAGCTTTGGATTACTATAACAAGGCACGAGAGGCAGCTGATTGTATAAAGAGAAAAGGCTTTTCTAGCTCACAGTTTTGGAGGTTGGTACACTTTGGATCATAAATAGTCTTCAAAGGCTCCAGTGCTGAAGGCTTGTCCCTGGCTGGTTGTGCCATGGGGAGGTGCAGCAGTGGGAAAAGTAAGGTCACTGGGGGCATTGCCTTGTAGGGGACATTGGGACGCAGGTGCCTCCTCCTCTCTGGTTCCCAGCTGCCGTCGGGTGACCAGCTTTTCTCACCATGCTCTCTAGATGATATTCTGTCTCCACGGTCCAAAGCTGGGGGGCCAGGTGACCACTGAGGGCTCTGAAGCCATGAGCCGAAACAAGCCTTTCTTCCTGAGTCAGCTGTGGCGGGTTTGAGTGCACACAGGAACAAGCAAGGGTGTGGCCTACACCTTGAGCCAGGGCAGAGCAATACAAGCCCACAATGCCCAGGAAAGGGGCAGGATCTTTTCCTAGGCTCCACCTCTGAAGGCTTCCACCCCTTTCCCAATGTCCCCACGCTGGGGACCAAGGCCTCCCTCACAGTGGGCCTTCAGGGACACACGAACCTCCCCTAAGCCATAGCAGTCTCTGTCTCCATTAGGAAACTCTGCCACTGTAGTGCAGATGCAGCCTGGCGATATGCAAATGAGGGGGTGTGGCTGGGTCCCCAGGAGAGTGTTCACAAAAGCAGGGGCCACATCTGGTTCGGGGGGAGCCACGGTTATTTCCTCGTAAATTACACAGAATTGCATGCATATTTTGAACGATGGATGAAACTTGAGACTCAAGCTGCAATCTTCTGGTTTGAAAGACTGGAGTCTTCTCACTCCCTCATCAGAGGGTTTGGTCTGCTCGGATTTCCCCTGGCTGCCGTCAAGGCACTGTGAAGACATCCAGGCCCTCTCACTTAGGGTCGGGCGGGCTGGGACGCGCAGCAGCAGGTGGGCTTGCCCTACTGGGTCTGACGGTGAGAGGCAGCCGGAGAGAAGACCCTGTCACCTGACACTTCCCTGTAGAAGTCACTTAGACAGGATGCTTGAGTTTTGAGAATCAAAACTCAGGGAGAAACTGACCAATTTAATCCCTTCAATGGCCCTCAGAAATAT